GAAGTCTGTTGTTTTGGGAACGATAATTTCTTGGGGTATACCCCTCAAACGGCCCACGGGGTAAATGCGCTAAAACAACACAAAAGTTAAATCAATGTCCAGCGAGCATCATTGGGAATGTGCACCCACAACAAATTTCAGTATTGGGAATGTGGTGACAGGTCAAGCTGCAGGTTCACGTCGCATCCACCCTCCCGGATATGTTCTTGGATAGATCCTGATCCTTCGATTTCTTATAGGCCTTTATGATCAATTTGCTCTCTATCTGTCTCGGCCTGGCATTAATGCCATCATCCGCCCTTCCATTGACGTGGAGCGCATGACAGAACTGCTAAACTTGCCTACTTTCACCGACAGCCTTCAGCAAACTGGTCTTCAGCTCGAGGCCATTCCTCCTTTCACCACCCCCGGTACAATCTTGTCTGACGTATCGCGTGGCGCGTCCCGACCCGTAGTGCCAAGCGAGATGAGAGGATATTTTTTGCCACGTTGCACAATCTTGCTTAGCCTGGCATCCGCACCACCCAGCGCCTCGTCAACGAACGTTTTCTTAGGCCAAGCATGAACACTGATATCCGCCAGTGGACCTGTTCATGTTTGTCCTGTCAGAAGGCCAAAATCCGACGGCAGAACATAGCCCCCATTTGCAATTTTCTCGCATCCGACGCACGTTTTGCAGATGTCCATATCGATCTGGTAGGTCCTTTTCTGACATCGCGGGATTGCAACTACTTACTTACTGTGATCGACCGATTTACTCGTTGGCCCATTACAACCCCCTTACCTAATATAACTGCAGATTCCGCTGTTCATGCTTTTTTGGAATGCTGGATCTCTCATTATGGCCTCACCTCAACTATTACCACCGATCGAGGTCAATAATTCGAGTCTAGACTTTTTAACAGCCTTACCGACCTCCTCGGATATTCTCACATACGCACGACAGCATACCATCCTTCATCCAACGACTCAGTCGAGAGTTTCCACCGGCAACTCAAAACCTCGCTCCGAGATCATGACAACACTTCCCATTGGAGCGAGCATCTGCCTTTGGTCATGTTCGGTATCCATACTGCACTCAAGCCCGACTTGGGGTGTTCCGCTGACGAGCCCGTCTACGGTACTACCCTACGGATTCCCAGTGATTTTTTCGGGTACTCTCAAAGCCCAGCCGACTTGGATCCCAGCAATTATGTGCAAAGATTGCGCCAAGCCATGACTCACATTCGAGCTACTCCTCCACGTGCTCCCACAGTACATCGTGCATCGACACGAACTGACTAACATGTTCTGTTGTATGTGTCCGCGTAAATAACGTTCGTCGGCTACTACAAGAGTCCTATGACGACCCATTTCGAGTACAATCTCGCACTGATGAACATTTTACAACTGCCCGTGGAGGTAGCACCGGCGTGGTCTCAGTCGATTGCTTGAAGGCGGCTTATACCGAGCCTCTTTCAATGTCCCCAACCGAATAATCTCCACTCCGCACATTGCCGCACGATACTTCCCAGACTCAACTTACGCCCAATAACCCTGCGTTTTCCCTTAGCTCGCAGAATCCTCCCACTTACGCGCGGTGTTCGTCATGTCCACTTTCCCGGTCGTTACTAACTTGTACAATATGCATAACACTCCCACCTTTTCCTTCTATTAACAACATTTTTTTGAAATCTGTTATCTTAGGAGGGGGAGTATTGTAGTGACATTTAAGCCCGTATGGTTTTACTCAGTTGCAATACGCATTTTAAAAGAGCGTGACACAACTTCGAATAAGACACAGAGCAAGCACGTGCATTTTTGCCTGCTGACGACTTTGTTCTTATTTATTAGTTTGTAACTGTTGGGATAATGCTATCTTCGTTTCCTGATAGCATACTCACTGCGTCCAACTAATGGGCCTATCATTTACACACCGCCGGCTCGGTGGAAACAATCGGATACAGTCCTTACACAACCATACGCTTACATCACACATAAGCCCGGTCATGCGTTGCGAATATGTCGCACTGAGACCAGTGACTGACTGATTGGGCCTCAACATGTGGTCGTCGAAACCTCTTCGCGTGCCCGCATTGCGCCAAGATGTCCAGCCATCGCATGGGACTACTCAATCGTGTGCACCTCCGAGGAAGTCTGCGGCAAAACACCGCAGTTCAAACCCTATCGCCCCACGCTGACCCACCACCCTACCTACCCCTGGACAGCCTCCGTCCAGCCTCGCATCGCCCGCCACATATGGGGGGGACATGTTCATTGGTATAACAGGGTATCTGACAGTGACCAAGCCGTGTTTGACAGATAGACAGACGGACCATTATAGCTCTATCAGTCACTAGCTGGCTAGTTGGAGGACTCAGAAGACTCAGGAGAGTGGGCTCAAAGTTGTGGGATCCATCACCGCAGCAAATCAATGGATTTCTCGTTATATTAGAGGTAGTTCACTTAAGTGTCTCACGGAGCGCCAAAGTTGTAGTTTGAAAGGTTGCCAAACGATGGGAGAACTTGGACCTCACGGTCCGTATTGTGTGGATTGACTGACTGGATGGCTGAGAGTCAGGCTCAATGTTCCCTTCTTGCTTTGATGGAACCCCGAAGGGTCTTTAATAAAAAATTATTATTAATATTGCCTTTACGACATTCCCAAGCATGCGAGATCCGAGCCGTCCACTCACAGGTAACGATATGTTGCGAGGAGCAGGTCATGCAAGTACCGGATTGTCTCACGGCACGTGTTGATCGGGAGGGTCAGAATCCGCCCCATCCCATAAACGCTGCCGCACTCGTGGATGTTATGGCTATCTTCGGCGTGTCCTTTACCTATTGTAATCAATCCCAACGCCAGATCTCTGACAGGCTCGAAGGGTTGACTGGTGTATGGTAGTGGGATGCGAGAGTGGCGCTGATACTAGGCAATCCAGCTCGACGACAAATAGCGCATTGCTTGCCATAATAATTCAGACTCGTTTAAATCTATCACGATGAGCTGAAAGCCGCGGCCCAGTAGACTGACAGATGATGGGATATGTCTGTTATTCTCAGGACTAAGAATCAGGTTACACTTGCGCTTTTCAAATGTGACCCTTATAGCACCCTCACCGGTGTGAAGTTCTAATCGCGCTTGCAGAAGCCAGGCATATTCTACCCTGAGAAGGTCGTATGTGGCACGCACAAACGGGTTGTTTAGCTTTGTAAGTCATCATGCCCATAACCACCCCCGGTCGGCTTGACAATTACTGGACATCAGAACATAGTAGGTGACCAAAGCGAGAGTGCAGTAGATGCTGCGCATTTCTGCCTAACTATACAATAATTCCCACACAAGTCACAGTCCTGCGCCCACCATTCCGTAAGCATACAGTGACGTCATCATTCACGATGGCCGAACTGTGTGCATGCATGTCGGGCTCCGCGCACTGGGCGTCTGTTTAATTTCGATTAATTGTCAGTCGACCGACCATCTCGAGGTGTGATTCGGAGTTGCGATCACAATGGGCATGGGTTAGAACTGAGGACATATTGCTGGTTGAGGGGCGGTAGTAGGAATATTGTCAGCAGTGTTCTCATTAGTTTTGCTAATGATTGTGCCGGTGGTCGGCCAATGGGCGACGATTATGAAGATATTTTCGAAACGGAAGTTGAGATTCGTCACCTTGATCATGCACTATATTCGGAGATTTCCGATGAGGTCAATTCGTGCCCTGAATGCCCGCTGTCAATGTGGACTCAATAGGCGGGGTTGTGAGCCTGCATCTTTGGTCTGCAAAGTTAAATATTTTGGGTCTCAATTTTTGCCTTACCAGTTGCAATTTGATTGGCTTCAATGGTGGCTGCATCATCCTCGCTGCAAATCAAGCTTATCGTCTGATGTTATAAAACATCCACATCAAACCTACCGTGAGACAGCTGGTCTCACGGAGATATCCCTGATAATGCTCTTTTGAGTTGACGCGATAAAGTGTCTCCCATAAGGTTGTCTGGACTCAAATATTCCGGTAAACTTCACTTGCGAATACCAGGGACTTTGGAAAATTGGAAGGATGATATGATTTTATAAGGGGCACCCCAGAGAGTACGCGCAAAGGGAGCTAAAATCTAGCGACTAGACTCGTAAGCATATTCTGATCACCGATTGGACGTGTGGTAGTGAATTTGTGGAGCAACACCACCAATTCATACCGAGCTTGACAGGGGTTAGCTCATATAAACTGATTCAGAAGGCATGTTTTAGATTTTTAGTCTCCATGCATGCAAAACAACATATATCGCAGTGTGGCAGTAGAAAATTAAGAGCAGGTAGTGAAAAGGTGTGGGAGAGGAATGGGTGTTGTCTGGGAAGGCTGGATATTTCAAAGGACTAGATATGATCTGGTAGTGAGATCAGGAATATGGTATAAACAGGATTCATTTGTGTGTAACTTCTGGAAAGCAATATGACTGGTTTCTATTAGGAATTTTAAGGGCTCGGCTTATGCCAAGATCCTTGGCGGGCTTCGACAAGCACCTTTTATAAACGTTAGACCGTTTTGGACAAACGTATGGCTACAACATTTGCTGAGACAAGTACCGTTAGTGCAGGGTCTTACAGCGTACCACTGACGCTTCATAATTGGCGCGGAGGTCTTGGTTGACGTTAAGCAAATGGAAGAGTATTTCCGGGATAGTCAGGAGTCATTGGTTCCGTATATATCCTAAAGTTGGCTAGACTTTCATTGACTGACGAAATCAATTAAAATCTTGATATATTTGCTGACTCTTGTCATTGTGCTCATTCGTCTTTTCCTCTGTGTTCTCTCTGATGTTGCAACATAGATTACTGGTGAGTTTATAGTTTCGTTCGAAGTCCTTATGCATATGCTTTGGAAATGTCCCACATTTTTCAGGCGACTGAAGCTGAAAGGGTTTATTCCGAGACTGTGCTTGGTTTAGGAGTGTTATCTGGTTTCATTGGTCCTGTGGTTCCAGGGATCTGTTGTTTATCGGTTGGGTTTTGTGCCGCCATGCTCTTTTTGAAAGCGTTTTTTCTTCTTATCATTGTGCTTTCCTCCACCGTCTATTGCCTGAAACAGTGCACCGAACTCTTGCCCGGCCAGTTTACTTGTCTGGAACCGCGCATTGATCCGCTAACACAACAGCCGCAGCACTGTTCAAGAATAAGTGGGCTAGCGGAAAGTAAGCATACTGCTCGTGTATATTTATGATCTAGCTAAATGTACAGTCGCACCGGGGATCGTGTGTAAAGGCTTAATAGACGTGGATGGTTTTCGATTCTTTAAGAAAAACATCACCTGTCTGTGGACGTAAGGCCATCTTTTTCGTCTAGCCTTCATTCAGGAATGGATATAAATACGAAACTGCTCTGCTCCTTTCTATTTTCGGGGGAGTCTTCGGACTTGACCGCTTTTACCTGGGTTACGTCGCTTTAGGTTTGTTCCGTTTGAAAGTTGCATTCATGTCCTCCTAGGCTGTCTGAAGATGTGGACAGTTGGAGGGATGGGTCTTTGGTACTTACTTGATATAATTCTTCTGGTGAACAATGTAAGTAGCTCAAAGCCTCCGAGCTTGCACGACTTCTGCTCTGTCTGATTTGTTGCTTCTCTTCATATGCTCCCTTGATGCGGTTGTGGGCGTGTACCATCATGCCCTCAAGGTTGTCGCGGACAATTCCTCTCCGCGCTTGACGATCTGCGACTGGGGATCTAGTGAGCCCTATCTGCCCTCTTTGTCACCCGCGGAGATATCCTACCAGAAATTCAAAATCTAATTCTGTGCTCTGTTTTGAAGTAATAGTCGACTTGGCCACTTCGTCACCTCTAGTTATATAGGGGCATCGGTTTACGACAAAACACCACTGTAATCTCCTCTTGATAGCTGCCAGCACGCACAGCCTGCCTCAAGCAGGTCAAATTTTGTTTATCTAGCCGGACAGATCGTCTCCGGTCAACAGCGGTCGAAAACTTTCGGGTTTTGATTGCTCGATGCGCACAGTTCAGTCGTCGTTTCAATTGCAGATCATAAGGGCCTCTTCTATATCCGGGCCTTTACGGCTCAGGTGGCCTGTAAGTTTCATCGATTCGAGCGACAGTGTAGTCCCTGTGCGTTCGTTTGGCAACTGTGAACCGAGTCATTTCAGTGACGCTTCTGTATAAGCCTGCAAACTCTGCGACCTTTTCATCCAGAACTACATCGTGGATGTCTTTTTACCGTGGTTCTTATAGGAAGGTGTGGGAAGTATAGTAAAAATCCGTCAGTACGCATTCTGATATGCATTCCCTTATATCATAATGCTTTCTGACAGCGTGCTTTGAGGGTTTGATTTGTCCACCGTTCCACCGGATATCAAAAATATGATCTACACTTCGAAGTTAACTGACGCACCGCCGTCGTCTTCATCAACGGCAACAGAACTCATGTCATGAAACAAGAAACCAGATAATGCACAGTAGATAGCGAGAATAGTGGAACGCGCCCTATTATACGAAAATTTCCTTGTAACTTAGAAACTGTTCTCAAGACTATAACCGTAGTGTCCAAAAAGAATTACTGATCTCGAACGAATAGTTACTTTGGTCACTGTGGTAGGGACGGTTACTGGGGCCTTTTAAGTTGATTAGAAGTGATAACCTTTAGAGAAAAGCGTGAATGTCAAAACATCAAAAGCTGTATCGAACTAACCGACTTGGTTTGTAGAACTGTATTGTGTATGTTCTCTCAGACAAACGAATTATAAGACGAAGTATGCAATATAAGGTTTATGAACTTCTTTACATTATCATCGGGCTAAATATTTTCGAAGAGTTAATATCTAGAAATGTGGTTACCAATGACACGTATGGTGTTAGGGAAATTTTTAACAACACACAAGGAAGTGTTAGACAACAATTCCTTTTTCGCGAGGCTTACAGTGCGGGATAAGTTCATCTGATTCAAAATAGTGAAGTTGCCAAAAATGAAACTTATAGGATGACATACTGAAAAGTCAGCCACGAAAGCCTTGAGCACACTATCCGCTTCCGTAAAGTTTCCCTTTTTTGCTGGCAACCGTCGTGTCAGTGGATACTCGGTTGAGTTAGCGTCCCCAGTCTATTTTCGGAAAAAAAGTTCCTTTATTTCACGGTTACCAAGCCTATAGAAAGGACGTAGTTCATGCTCGCGGAATTTTTCGTTTGCGAGTGACCATCCAGCCCTTACGTGTACGTTGTCACAATTTTGAAACAAACAAGTTCAGAATCGAAATCCCATGTTTAATATGCTCGTGGTCGAATAATTAAAATTGTCTATCAAGCTTCCTCCTTAAAAAGCGGCATGTTATAGAATTTCGCAAATGGATGCTTGCGCCAACTATATTTTCCCACTAATTTTTTTAGAGAGAGAGAAAAGCAGACATTTCTCCGGACATGCACTTATCTGACCGATACTGGGATTGTTCTGTTATCTTATGACGAAGGCACCGTTCATTAACCCTATAGGTATTGGATTTGTGTCGCAAAATAAGTGACTTGACTTCTGTTGCGTCTCTAGTCAAAAAAACGTCTTGGCCATTTCGCGGTTACTTCTACGATATTCATTTATATCCTGAAATTACTCGTGTGATAATGTAAAAAATGTTGAGCTTTAGAAATCATGATTTTTAGGGACTGGGGCGCTTCTACTTTCTTGGGCATATATGGATTTGCACATCCAGATTCACTGGATCTTCGTAGATCCAAAAATCAAGTTTCGAGTTCAGAAGACCTGTTTTCATAATAGTCTCTTGCTTAAACACTTGTGAGGCATGTCTTGCAACAGTAACATACGAAGTCGACTTGCCGTAAGGACTTTATATTTTAGCTTGGGAGTCCTGTTATTTCCTAAAATGACCTCGGAACGTATTCTTAGTTGTGCTCTAAACTGGCTGTCCTACCGTTGACTCACTTGTGTCCATGCTTTTGTATAAAACAAGGTCAGTAATTATCATCCAAAGAATGACTCTCGGGCAATCGGAGTCAAAAACGTCTAGTTTCCTTCCGTCTCATACACATCCAGCCCAGCATTAAGTCGCATTCATCATATCTGCTCGTAATATGCTACATCACGATTAGGATAGCACGAGGAGCCCATGAGCTTATGTGAGAGTCGACTATACCCGTTCTGCCGTTATCATTGTCGTCAATCAGCTAATAAGTCAAAATTTTTTAAACTATCACCAATAAAAGCTGGCCAGTCTGCTGAGGAGTTTGTCACGTAGTCTGGTCGACAGCAACTCCCAAATTACAAATCAGGTAAACTTAATTCACAGGATGGCCTGGAAAGACCAGGAACACCAGCTCGTCGGGCACGTGCTCGTTTTTTGGTTAGCAATGAAGCAGGCTTCGCTCTTTCGGAGCTGTTGCAAGTTGTGCTCAACTCAGGTGATCGCAATATTTCAACAGGTTTATGTCATAAACATGTTCACTCCGCAAAAGATAGGCCATATTCTTGCGTTCAACTCAGTGTGAATCAGGAAAAGCGTTGTTGTGTTGAAGAAGAAGACACGATTGCCGGGACAAGAGCTTTATTAGCCTGACGTTTCGGATTCCTGCTCTATTGGCAAAGCATTGTTGTCCATGGTACCGCCGTGTTACATTTGGTTGTTGATCATTTTAAATTTGCGTTTCAGAATCTTCATCCTGCCGACCGTTCCAACCTCACTCACCCATATTACAACCCTGGGATAGTCTATCTCCGTGATAGCAATCTTCTATAGCCCCCTATGAGCTCTCTTCAGCCCAACTCTAAACCAGGCAGCCCAGACATTTACGACTTGCTCAAAATCCCGCCCTCTTATTCGTCAGACTTACGTCTACGTTACCTTTCACTGTTGTCTCACCTGACCGGTCAAGACATTCCCTCGGAAATACATCTGTTTGAATTTCCCGACTCGATTTCTGGCCGTTTAAACGTTTGGTGTCCTGATTTCTCGCAAACGCCCAACTCTCCAGAGCAGCGCGGTGTTATTTGTTTTAAAGATTTGACAACACCACTGGGTACTGTCCCCCACGCACGTGTCCGGGAGTCCGACGTTGTTGCTGTTCAGTTTGATTTGAAGCACTTTGCCTGAAACTATGGATACCGGTGATAATTTGAACGCGAGCCTGTGTGTTGAACCCAGTCCTCCACGGAAGAGAAGACACATAGCCTCTGAAGACTGCTCTGAGACCTGCTCCTATAAGCCGGCTAAAATGCAAATTGTTAAGATTCTGCGCAATGATACGCGGGGCAAGTGCATTTGTCTGCACGCCAAGTTCAGCGACTCTCTGAACCAGGACGCCATCGTTGTCCTTCAGAAGAACCCCTTTCCAAATGAGGTGCAGGCACTCTGTGATGCCCATCTTGGACGTCCATTCTCTGAGGACAAGGAGCAAGAGGAGGGAGAGACCCGTAACGGAGTGGAAGAGAGTCTTGTCTTCCCCGAGTGGAAGGCCGATAGAGTTATGGACAACGACATATACCATCGGCGCCTAGTAAAAGCTGGTTTAGAGGGTCTGAACTCCCTCAGTATGACTGTAATCCATCCTGCGGAGGCACAGCACTTTGCCAAATACTCGGCTTCTAGACGTCGGTTGGTTCTTGAAACCCCGGACATCTACTCCAACGTCATTGTGCCCTTCCTGGCGGCCAGCCCCCGCGACCTGGCTTGGGTAGACAACATTCTGAATGGTACGGCTGAAGCCGACAGAGTGCTCTTCACTGATCCGGACGAATCTCTGGGCTTCACCTTTGTCCTCGACTATCGCTGGGATGGACGCCAGTTACACGAACTGCACTGTCTGGCGCTAGCTCGGTCAACCAGTCTCACCTGTCTGCGGGATCTTAGGGCCTGCCATTTGCCGATGCTGAAGAAGATGTTGTCGGAGGGTCGCCGCGCTCTCGTCGCAAAATATGGTCGCAACGGCGGCGGCGGCGGCGGCGGCAGCGACAGCAACAGTGCTACCGAGACGACTAAAGATGAGACAGCGGTGGCGCCGGCAGTCCTCGCCGAGGATCAGATTTTTGCCTACTTTCATTATCCGCCCACCTTCTACCGACTGCATATGCACTTCGCGCATGTGGACTCTGCGGCCGACGGTGGTACTCAAGCAGGCAAGGCCTACCTTGCTGAGGATGTCATTGCCAATTTGGAACAAGACGGGGAATTCTACGCCCGCCGAACCATGCCCATGTTTTTACATGAAAATCATGCATTTCTGGCGGCGATCCGAGAATCGGCTGCAGCGACAGAGGCAGCAACGACACCCGAGAAGAAGGAGTGAAACCAGCGAGCCCCAAGAAATGACTCACCGGTTCTTCCCTTTGCATGAAATGTGCTTTTGATATCCCCTCTAGTCCCTTTTTTAGCCTTTTCATGTTTCTTGTGAACTTTCTAATGTTATACTTGAATGTATATCGTGCTGCGGTTGTTTTCATGATTTATTATTTCTGGAAACTTCGTGAATTTCAGTCGGATGCGTAAACAGCGAAGCTCTTGCGGACTTCGTGTGTCGAAACAGCGACTGTCAAACGACTTACACGAGTTCACACCTGAGAAGTGTGACCTAACAAGCGGTGGGACAATTATTGACGAAGACTCGGTACTCAAACTTGTTATAAATTATCCTGCAAAGCCCCTAGACAGAACTTGGCAGCAGCTAGGGCAAAACGAGCGTTTCGCCCCTCTAGCCATTGTCGGAGTGTGTTTCCGATTGTACGAGATTAGATGGCCATCAGCAAGTACCAAATCCTGGCTCACCATGCAAGTTTGAACTCGCAGATCCTTTCAGGGTTGACTCTCAACTTCGAAGCATCCTTAGTCGACTCAGCAGGGGCGGTTTTCGTGCAATTGCTTGTTGTATGCTGAGCCACACTTTGGGTCCTTTCAGTTGCACAGGAGGCCTCTGAATAACTACATATGTTCGAAGCGTTCTCCCCTGTAAGTGCTTAAGGGAGAATAAGGTGCTTTTCGGTAGACGAGTCTGTCGTATTAGTTCCGCCCGGGTGTCAGCTGTATTTTCGGGAACATTCAATCTGCTTGGAGATCTTTCCGGCGAAATCTAATTTAACCTCGGACATTTCCGTAAGACGCGACTTCCTCTATGCCAAATAATGTAGACAATATCTCGTTCCTGCAGAATTTTCAGAATTCAACGAGTTTGCCGGGATAAGTTCGTATTTCGGCGTTTCGGGAGCCGTACATAGTCCTACGCTCTCGCCATCACATGTCCATGCATGCACGTGTTGAGGTACTGCATTATCACGCCCAGCAAATCACGACCACCCATGGTGATCAAGAAAGTATGTTACTAACATTGTGACTTGCAGACTTGACGTATACCGACTGTTACACCCACGATTGGCCCAGCCGACGGATTCGATTATGCCGCACGCCGCCTGCTCAACTGTGCATACCCCAGCTCTCCTACTGTTCCTCTTCACACTTCTAAGATTTTCTAGAAACGAGTCTTAAACTCCACATCTAGGTGTCCGTTCTGCAGCGACTGCGCCATCTGCCCATCGGGACTGTGACAGTCAACCCCAAGCGACCCGTCAGTAAAGTCTTGACGTGATCCCGACCCATAGGATCATGATCTGCACAAGGCAGAAACGGACTACTGGGCATAAAATACAGGGAATGGTACTCCGTAGGGGGTTTATTTCAAATAACACGGCTTCCAAGGGTAGTCTGACAAGGAAATGATGTGACAGGTTACTCGATCAACAGGATAAAGACACGAGAAGAGAGGCTTGAGATGACAATCCAAAAGTCAACGGTCTAATAACATCGCGGCGGTAGGTTAAACGGGGAGGGGGGAGGCTGCGGACGTCGCGACAAAGGAGGAGCAGTCGCGCGTGTTTGAAGGCAGTCAGGCAGCTGACATGGGTAACATAATCTAAGGTGGAAGAGGTGGGCAGGAGGGGGAATTAATGAGAGGGAGAGAAGGAAGTAAAACGTCAGACGGACTGAGACGGAGCGCTCTCACATGGAGGCGGAGTTTGCCTTCTTCCGCGCCACAGCTGAGACGGGGGGACGAAGGGTCGAATCCGACGTCGGCTCCTCCGCCGCCGCCTGCTGTGGCTGTTGTCGCTGTGGCCACTTCTCCGCCCACCAGGCCAGGATCTGCGCCAAACTAGGTAACTTGAACTTTGGCAAGGGAGGTGGGGCAGTGGCGGCGGCCGATGGGCGCTGTTGACGCCACCGTCTTGGCAGAGCAGCCAACTCTGCGTCCTCCGAGGCGCTGCCGGGGGAGTCATCGACCATTACGGGGGCCTCCTCCTCCTCGTTGGCGGCTGGCGATGGCGACGCACGAGAGGGTGGGGCGACCGGAGCGTCACCAGTGCCGTCGGCTTCCTCCTCATCATCCAGACCGCTCTCCTGAATGCGCAGTATTGATCGCAGGAGGATGGCAGTGTCCTTGAGGAGAGAATAAGAGGGAGACGGGGTCGTTAGCTTCCATTGACTGGCAAGCAAGCTAGCGCGATTTCGTAGAATTCTCAACAACCCCTTGTTTCTATTAAAAGGTTGCTAGAGCCAGTTTTTTCCTAAAATGTCACCGCCAGTCAAGTGTGAGGTGACATGTACCCTGCACCGGTAGCAGAGTTCGTTGCTTGTTTGACGACTCCTTTGCCCGAGGAAAACCTTAACAGGCGTTTTAATGTTCATTGGCTGGTTATTGTTCTGTTAATCTGCTCCGTATGGGTGGCAAAGGCCATGGACAGGCAACCAACTGCCAGGCCGAAGTCGGCCAAGTTATGATAGCAACCCGACTTCAGCCTAGTAGGTGGTTGCCTGCTCGTGACCCCTATCGCCTATGCGAAGCTTGTTTGCTTCGGGAAGCCAACGGATCGGTGTGCGCCCATTCCTGGGTGAATATACATATACATGCACGCAGAAGACTGCCAACAAAGACCTCGGTGTGGTTTATTATAAGTCATCGGCCAGCTTTACCCAACCCCAGGTTGAGGGGTAAGTGCGGATTCTTTTGGTTATTAGTCCAACGCTCTAACCATTGATTCACGGACTCATCCTGTCGGTTTCGGTCGGCAAGCGCGTTTACCGGTCGGCTTACGAGACATGCGTATCCCGCTGTGCCTTATATGTGCAAACATAGCGGATGTGAAGGCTACATACAAGATTGTACAATAATTCGGCGACTCTCATTACTCATAGCCTCAAATGGCTGAATTGCAGCCTTGTGGACTTGGAAATTCAGTAGAAAGTGAGCACTGCAATTGATGCCCACCTGTGGATTCGGACTCATCGCACTTCGGGGCACAAATGAGATCGGTGTGGAGGTGGCCTCAGACTGCAGTCTCCAAAGGCCAAGCAAGATGAGATCGTCCGAGTAGCCCAGACGGCGAGCATTCTGCACCGGCCAGGTTTGCGGACCCGTAGCAACAAGCATACGGGCAATGGCCGCCAGTCGGTCGGAGAGGTTCCTAACGTACTCCTGTGCCGTCACCGTTGCCGCCGAGGCCAGGTTCTTACGCGTCAGGGGCAGGTCGGAGGAGAGCAGTCGATGCACCTCGAGGAAGAGACAGGGGACAGAGGTGGAGGTACGCTCCACCTGCCG